CCGCCTTCTGCCTGGGCTTGGCCGGCCGCGCTTCAGCACCCGCCGAGCCGGACAGCGCCTGCTGCATGGAGCTGCCCGCCGCGGCCACGGACGCAGTCGGGAGTCCCGCCGCCGCCGCCCTGGTCTCCTTCCCCGGGGGCCCCGGGGAGCTGGAACTGGCGTTAGAGGAGGAGCTGGCGCTGCTGGCGGCCGGGGAACGGCCGTCCGACCCCGGAGAGCATCCTCCGGCTGAGCCCGGGCCTTTGGCCGAGGGGGCCGGCCTGCAGCCGCTGCCCGCCCAGGACCCCGAGCTGCTGTCGGTGATCCGGCAGAAAGAGAAGGATCTGGTGTTGGCGGCCCGGCTGGGCAAGGCACTACTGGAGAAGAACCAGGACATGAGCCGGCAGTACGAACAAATGCACAAGGAGCTGACCGACAAACTGGAGGTGAGTTCGTCCCCTCTGGGATGGGTGGGAAGCAGGGGGAGCTCGGGCACCCACCAGGCCCAGGGAAGCTTCGGGAGCCACTCACCCACTCCACCGTACTCCACCCCTTTCTTGCTGGCCCTACCTCACAGAAAACCGCCTGAAGGGTGGGGGTAGGATGGAGGATTTTGGATTATCAGACCAGGGCATCCATTGAATACACCTGATTTTCCCACCTTGTTCGTAACGAATGGGTCCATGCACAGCTCCAGTCGCTGTGGGCCATTCTGTATATGTACTGCACAGAGCATCTGAAATAGAGCTTACGGTATGACTAATCTATACAGCACCGAGGTGATGTCTGCACACCGAGAAATGAGAAGGGGAAAGCATTTAAAATATTCTTCAGGTTTTCATACAAGTAGTTAATCTCTAATCAGGGTGTTAGCCTAAAGCTTTCCAGTTTGGGCGTTAAGGCCTCCAGATGCCCTTGTCTTAACTTCCCGGCAGCTCAGAGTTGTGGGAAACAAGTGCCCCTAAGGGAGCTTTTTATAGCCTTCAAATACTGGGGGATTAGGAAATGGGGTTCCATTGCAGTCAGGCAGGCTTGGGCTCAGCATGTGAGCGTGGGTAGTTGACCTAACTCAGACCTCAGTATTTATGTGTATTTAAGCAGCACTTTTCTGTGTTCTGTGTCTCTCACATACAGTCGCATGGCCAAATGTGAGAACCATATTGCTTCAACTGTTGTTAATAAATACCCCTAAAGGAGCTGTAAGATTTTTGCCACTTTTTGCCCTTAACTACAAAAGGGTCTTGAAAGTGGTTTGACACACCAACATTTCCCAAAATTAGAGAGATTTTAAAAAGGGGAGACATCTGTGGCAGTGGAGACAAGCTTATCTTTTTCTGCCTGTGCATTTACTGTTTTTATCCACTTTGGTTGCAACCAGTTTTTTGTGTTTGTTTTTTTTTTATTAGTTACAAGAGAATAGTACAGTCCTGAATAAGATCTGAAATTGACCCTCGTCTGGTTCCATATCACTGGTACTTATTGAACAGTCAGAATGTAGATTTAGAAACTTTTCCATAATAAGATTTAAGTGTGTCTGTAGTTCAACATATCAAAAGTAAATCAGGGAGGAAAAAAAAGGAAACCAATGAGTGCCCTGTAGTTCAGTTGGCCTGTTAACTAGGTCTGCCAGTCGATGAACTCCCAAGATACCTCTCTGAAAAGTGGTTTGTGAAACCTATAGGTAGACTGCCAAAAAGCAACCCAATGAATTGAATTGTTTAATTTTCACTTGAAGTAGAGGTCTACAAATAAAAGGGTGTCTTTTTTTTAAAAAGAGATTTGATTACACGGCTCTATATAGAAGTACTACTGCAGAGATTTATACTTGATTTGAAATTCCTTCAGTGAGGGACTTGATTGAAGAGACAGCCGACTTGAAAGGACCATCATATCAGTCATTTTGATGAGTGGTAGATTTCAGAGTAATCCTGAGTGTGCAATTACACACATCCTGGGTTCCATGTGGAGCCTTTTATACATTTCTTCAACAAAGGAAAAAGATTTCGAAATTCGGTAACAAGAAAGGTTCTTTTGTAAAAGAATACACTACCTTTGATTTTATAAAATAGTTTAAAGTTCTTGAACTATTTTTTAAAATCTTCACTCCTCTGCAGGTCAGCATATGAACTCTAGTTACATTTCTGGAGGTTGGTTGCACAACAATGTGGATGTACTTAATACCTCTGAACTGTACACTTAAAAATTAAGATGGTAAATTTTATGCTACGTATACTGTAGTCCCCCCTTATCTGAGGAAGATATGTTCCAGGACCCCCAATGGATGCCTGAAACCACAGATAGTACCTAACCTCATACGTACTATGATTTTCCTATACATACATACCTGTGATAAAGTTTAGTTTATAAATTAGGCACAGTAAGAGATTAACAACAACTAACAATAAAATAGAACAATTAAGTCAAGAACTTTCACATTTTCACTGATAGTAAATCCTTTACAGCTTTTCTTGTGCTTTTCGGCCGTTATTAAGTAAAATAAGGACTACTTGAACACGAGCGCCGCAATACCGAGACAGTCGATCTGATAACCCAGAGGGCTACTAAGTGACTAACTGGCAGGGAGTGTACACAGCTTGGGTATGCTGGACAAAGGGATGATTCACTTCCTAGGCAGGATAGAGTGGGAGGGTTCAAGATTCATCACACTACTCAGATGGGCGCAAAATTTAAAATGTGAATTGTTTATTTCTGGAATTTTCCATTTAATATTTTTGGACCAAGGTTGACTGTGGGTAGTTGAAACTGTGGAAAGTGAAACTGCAGATAAGGGGGGAATGCTGTACTTTACCACAATTTTTAAAATAACACATTTTTAAAAGTTTATTTTTAAAAAGCTAAATATTGAGCATTATTGAAACTGAATGATGGAGAGTTCAGCTATACTATTTCTTCTACGTATGTTTGAAAATTATCATTAAAAATTTTTAGTTTTACCCTGGCTGGGTGGCTCAGTTGGTTGGAGCATTGTCCCCTGCACCAAAGGTTGTGGGTTTAGTTCCAGTCAGGCACATACTTAGGTCGTGGGTTCCATCCCCCGCCCAGGTGCATGTGGAGGCAACTGTTCGATGTTTCTCACATCCATGTTTCTCTCTCCCTCTCTCCCCATTCCTCTCTCTAAAATCAATTTTTAAAAATCTACAAATTTATGATAAAAAAATTTTTTAAAGGTGACTGAGGCCCTGGGAGAGAGACTGTAGACCCCAAGAAAGGAGGCACTATATCAGGTTTTTTTAATCCTCACCTGAGGATATGTTTCATTGATTTGAGAGAGGGAGAAACATCAGTTGGTTGCCTTCATATGTGCCCCTATGGGAGTTCAGGCCTGAACCCCAGGTATGTGCTTGACTGGGCATCAAACCTGCGACTTTTTTGTTATACAGGATGATGCTCCAATCAGCTGAGCCACCCGGCCAGGGCTCTAGCCCTATTTTTTTAAGAGGGCAAAACAAATAAGATGAAAATGATTACATAATGAGACTCAATAGTAGATTTAGGGAAGCAAACCTAGGATTCCTTATTTGCATTCAGTGCTTGGTCCACTGAAAAAATATATATATTTTTTCTTTGTATTTTTCAAAAATCATATCCTGGACTTATGAGAACGGTGTTGCTTTTTTGTTTCTTTGCAGAAACCCATTTCTGTGACAATCAATTTTAGGTAGGCTAATGATACTAGCTTTTGTTTTTTCACAGTTTTTGTGTGTTTTTTTCACAGTTTTAAGTAAACTTTTTTTGTTTTAGAATGGTTTTAGATTTTCAGAAAAATTTGAAAGATAGTGCAGAGAATTTCCATATGCCCTGCACCCAGTGTCCTCTATTACTAACATCTTACATTAGTATGGTACACTTGTCTTAATTAAGAAACCAATACTGATAGCATTATTATTGACTAAAGTCCTTAATTTATTAAGATTTTTTTTTAGCCTTTACCTAATGTCTTTTTCTGTTCCAGGATTCCATCCAGGATACCACATTACATTTAGTTTTTATATCTTAGTCTCTTCTTTGCTGTGACAGTTTCTTAGACTTTCCTTTTTTTAAAAAATTTTCTTTTATTCATTGATTTTTTTAGAGAAAGAGGAAAAGGGGGGTAGAGAGAGAAACATCAATTTGTTGTTCGACTTATGCATGCATTCACTGGTTGATTCTAGTATGTGCCCTCACTGGGGATCAAACCCAAAACCTTGGTGTATGGGGATGATGCACTGACCAACTGAGCTACCCGGCCAGGATAACCGTTTTTGATGAACGGTTGACAGTTTTGATATTAACTTTTTTCCTTTTTTTCTCTTCTTGGAGGTATAATTTACATATAACGTTATATTAGTTTCAGGTGTAGATAGTAACGTGTAAGATACTGTATAGCCCCAAGAAATAAGGAATAGCATGGGCAGAGCCTCCTGACCTCCACACTTGCTGATAATTCTGCCTAGAGTTTTACTGGTTAATTTAGCACTTAATTGAAAATAAAATTCTAGAAGAAATCTTCCTTTTTTCAGGGTAGATATAACTGTAAGTTTATTAATAGGAAGGTCTTGATTCCCCCTCCCCCCAAGTGTTGGGAAACCTGAATTAGGAAGTTTGTCACGTGTCCAAAGAACTGTACAGACAGAATAGACTGATCAGCACCACCTGTCCTCAGTCCCTCCTCCCAAGTGGATTGGATTGTTTTAGTCGCTTGGTTGGGCTGTTCGCTAGCAGCTGTTTGCTGAGTATTTTTAAGTCTCTCTGTTCTTTTAGAACACAAGCCTAATATATCTGCCCTCTCAGTAACAGTGTGATTACTGAGTTCTTGCTTTTGCCTTCTGCTCAATATTTTTCATTTTGGAAAAACTCAATAAAACCAAGAATCACAATTTTAGGATTGCAATTAGCATTTATTTCTGCATTTCATCTTTCTGAAGTGTCTATAGTGACTAAAACATTTTCCTTTTTGAAAGTCAAGCAATATGAGTGGATCATAGAGAAGAGCAGAAAATCCTCATGTTGATGAGTAGAAATCCTTCCCTGTCATTCATTTTCCCACATGCTCCAAACTGAGTCTGTATAAAGTATAACCATAATGTGGGGTATATTTTGGAAAGTTAGACCAGAGCTTTTCTGAGTGCACCAAAAGTTGAGGACCGTTGCTTTAACTTATATAGTTCATATATTCCTTTAGATATAGACTTGGCTTTTTTGGTACATACTATACTTTTAAGTAGAAGGACATACTTGCTTCTGAAAAGAGGCATTCGTATTTATCTCACAGAAACAGAAAGATGTTCTTATTTCCTTCAATCCAAAAGAATCCTTTTCTGTTGAGCTGCTACTTCAAACCATTTATACTTTTCCTGCATACCATTTGTCACACACAGCTTATTACTTGTATTGGCCTCTCCCACTAGAATAAAAATTTCGTACAGGCAAGGACCGTGTCTGTTTTGTTCATCACCGTGTCCCTAGCACAGTGGCTGGCTCATAGTAGTCACCCAAGAATGAGTGAATGGATCAGAAATAAATGTGCAAGGCTAATAGGCCATGATTTAAAATAGGCCTGAATCTGAACTTGCCTTAATGTTTTTGAAATACAGTGCTATATATAGCAACAAATATTTATTGAGTTGTGATTTAGAGCACTAAGCAGTGAAATAACCGAGACACAAATCCCAGCTCTGTCATTTACTAGTATTGATCTTGAGCTTGTTACCTAACCTCTCCTGTTGCCTTATTTGTAAGAAAAGATAGTTAATCTGAAGGATTTCTGGAGTTCTTTCTGTCTCTGAAACTTCTGTGATTTTAAGTGCCTGATATATGCCAGGCATAAAAGATGATTTCAACAGAAGCCTTCTTGAGTCATTTTAAATTGTTTAAATGTATAGTTCACCAATTAATTAGATGGCTTGCTAAATTTCAAGTGAATTCCTAAGTCTAGAACCCCACGCCCAAGGACAAGAATAAACCTAATAACGTTAACTATTTTCAATAGGAATGCCATTCTCTTTATGAAACCAATTCCTTTTCTACTCTGAGAGAAGGAAATATTTTCAAAGCTGTGGAACGGGCAGCTTTTCCTAAGTGGCGGTGTTTTGTTGTACTGACTAACCAGGAAAAGTTAGGAGAGGCCCTGGCCAGGTAGCTCAGTTGGTTAGAGCATCATCCCGATATACCAAGGTTGTGGGTTTGATCCCAGGTTGGGGCAAATACAAGATTCAACCAATGAGTGCATGAATAAATGGAACAATAAATCGATGTTTCTCTGCCTCCCTCTCTACAGTCAATCAATCAATAAAAGTTAGGAGAGTGTGCAAAGAGTAAAAAACCGAAAAACTGTGGAATTTTTAACAATTTTTAAATCCCACTCACTTTTCACCCAGCACTTAGAACAAGAGAAACACGAGCTAAGAAGACGGTTTGAGAACCGAGAAGGAGAGTGGGAAGGGCGTGTGTCAGAGCTGGAGAGTGATGTGAAACAGCTTCAGGATGAGTTGGAGAGGCAGCAAGTTCATCTACGGGAGGCAGATCGAGAAAAGACACGGGCTGTCCAGGAGTTATCCGAACAGAACCAAAGGTTATTGGATCAACTCAGCAGGGTGAGTCACAAGTTAAGAATTGATGGTGTAAGATACTAAACATTGAAACAGCTTCTGTATAATGTCAGTCATGTATATAGGAAGAGTAATTCTCACTTTTGTTGCTTTTGGTGTTATATCAACAAGTTAAATATGTTTCACCTGCAAGGAATTTAGCTGGGCCAAACTACGAGTCAGGAGCCATGACCCTTGCCTGTCTTTAGCCAGCTGTGAGGCTTTTTTAATTGCTTAACTTGGGAGTTTTCTCATTTTTTCCAGTGAAAGAATTGTGCTTAATGATTTCTGATATTTCTCATAGCTCTAAAAGTCTGTGATTGCTTTACCTAGAGAAAGCCTGTCACTGATAAATTATATTAATGCATTTAGTTCAAATATTAAGTGGTGCTGTCTCTAAACTGAAAAGCTTAGGGAAAATTTCTAGAGCAAATGATTTTTATTTATGTTGCATTTGTGAATGTGCATTCCTTCATATTATTTAAATTTGAAATGAGGTATGTGTGTTTGTATTTAAAATTTGTTCTCTTTGTTTCCACATTAAGTAAAAATTCTTTACTTGTACCTTTGTAGAGTGTTGTCATGAAAGTATTAATTAGTTAACCAAGGTCAAGACTGTAAAATCATTGCAGAGAAAGGGTTTGAGGGCTGAATAGGTGGAAATCTAATTTAAATACAGAACATACCTTTTTAACAAATGCAGGAATGTTAATGCCCTGGTCTCTAAATCCACCCACTTTTGAGTTAAGAGCTGGATTTACTATTGTACCTAAATCCTTCTTGTGTGTTGAAAGTAAAACTACTAACTCTTTAGTTACCAAAGGAAAAAAAGAACTCTGCTGTCATCCCTAGGCACTCATATTCTCATGAGAGCACTGCCCTTGTGTGCATGGTTAGTATTTGGTGCTTAGGTCTTTTGGGTGCATACCGTAAACTCTTGGTGTTTCCACTAGTTCAATGGTTAACACTGTATGAAGTTATTTCACTAGTCATAGTTGCTTCCAGTGGGTACTCTGAAACTAGTTAAAGGCTTCATGCCTCAGGAGGAAGTGTATGCTACTAATAGAGGAAGGAAAGGCAGAGAAAGAAGATGGAAGGTGAGGGAGGGAGGAAAGAAGGAAGGAGAGAGAGCGATAGAAAGAATGTATCTGATATGAAATATTAGAATGTATATGAAAGGTGGCTCCGGCCAGGTGGCTCAGTTGGTTAGAGAGTTGTCCTGGTGCTCCAGGGTTTCGGGTTCAGTCCTGGTCCGGGCATGTACAAGAATCATCCAGTGAATGCGTAGATGGGTGGAGCAACAAATCCACGTTTCTCCCTCTCTCTCTCTAAAATAAATAAAAATTAAAAGAAAAAAGAATGTATATGAAAGATGAGAATTCAAGTGATAGGCCTAAAGATCTTACCTGCAAGTTTCACGGCATTCCTGACTCAGTTCTAAAAACCACTTCCAGCAACTGGAAAGGGAATCTCTACCCTTTTGAGATCATATAGGTTTTTTGAGCCTTCACTCATTGTTCCTGAAAGGTTAAACTAACCCGATAGGCCTGGCCACATTGGTTTGTTTGCTCAAGAACACTTATTTTCTACTTATTCTGAGCAAGTGTTTCTTACGGAGATTTAAGGAAGGAACACAACAAACCGGAACAGTTAAAGGGGCAGTCATTTCTTGAGGGGTAAGTTCATGTTAGAAAAGAACTCCGCTTTCTGATCTGGTGAAAGGTAGATGCCAAGAGAGGTGAAGGGCGAAAGCAAACATTAGCGTGACGTAGCGAAAGAGCCCAGAGCTGGGAATTAAGATACTTCTCGTGAGCTGGTGACCTTGTTTGTGCCTCACTTTCTTTGTCCTTAAACTGGGGATAAAAATTTGTACCGCCTGCAACTACACTGTTGGTGTGAAAATAAGATAATGTGTTTATGTTAAGCTGGATAGGAAGGTGAGGAATTGTTTCAGGGTGAATGGTTATTTTACTAAAGCAGCGTCTTTATAGTTGAGGTTCCTTTGCCTAATTTCTCTGGAGAAATTCCTGATAAGCGGCTCCCAAAAGGATATAGGAGGGTAACATTTCCACTCGATCTAGATTCCTCTTATCCACTCTGGCCTTGAATGCGGGCCTTTGGTGAGTTTAGTGGCCTTTTTTCCCTTTCTCTTTTTAAGCGGGACAATTCTCTGGGGTTTCTCCATCAGTAGCCAGTTTAGAGTATATTCCACTTTCAGCTTATTAACTGTGTATTCAGGAACTTGAGGACTCGAGTGGTACTTTGAAGTGAATTAAGATTCTCCTAGAACAAAAAAAGCAACCAGCAGAAGTAATAGAAGGCCATGCTTTTCTTACAATGTATATATAATTTGTTTTTATAAGCATAAAATGTATGACATCTGAAAAATAGTACAGTATTTTTATGGTGCTTTTGTCCAAAGTATTTTTAAATATGTTTCTTTCACTACCATAGCTTCCGAGGTTCTTTTTTTTTTAGGAGAATTCTACAAAACCTTTATTTATTTAATAATAGCTCTATTATTGAGATCTAATTCACATACCTTAACATTTACTTTTTAAAAGTATACAATTCAGTGGTTTTTAGTATATTTACAGAGTTGTGCTACCATCACCAGTATCTAATTATAGGATATTTTACCTCCCCCTCAAAAGAAACCCTGTACCTATTAACAGCCACTCCCTTATTCCTCCTGACCCTCTACCCCATGCCCTGACAACCACTAATCTCTGTCTCTGGATTTGCCTATTCTGGATATTTCATATAAATGGAATCTTTCCCTTAGTGTAATGTTTCCAAGGTTCATCCACATTGTAACCTGTATCAGTACTACATTTATTTTTATGGCTGAAGAATATTCCATTGCGTGGATGTAACACATTTTGTTTATCCATTCATTACTTGATGGTCATTTGGGTGGTTTTTACTTTCCAGCTGCCATAAACACTCATGTACACGTTCCTGTGTGACCAAGGTTCTTTTCAGCTGTAAAACAGGGTGCTATGAGCACATGTATCCCAGGAGCTTCTGTATCCTCACTATGATGAAGAAGGGGATAATAGGTATTGTTCTAATTTTATAGCTGGGAAGACTTCAGGGAGAAAAAGATACGTGACTTGATAAAGGATCTTCTGATTTAAGACTGATTAGAGTTCCTGTGCCTCAATTTCACATTTCTGAGGCAGCAATTAAGATCATAGGCATTGGAGCCAGACAGCCCTGGGACCAAACACAGACTCTGTGATTTACTAGCTGGATAAACATGGAAAAATTTTTTTTCACCTTTTTAAACCTTAGTCTCCTCTTTCATATAATGGAACATTTATATTATTTCTAGTACCTGACAGTGTTTTGAGGACTAAGTGAGATGATGTATATACAGCTCTTATCACAATATCCAGCATATCTTACGTGCTCAGTAAATGGTAGCTGTCATTATAATTATGCCCTCATCATGTAGAGGGGAGATCTGGATTTGCGGAACATCGATTCTTTAACTCGAGAGGGGAAGAATCACAAGTGCCCCCAGCACATACCAGTGTGTAAGAATGTTTTGTTTAGTAGTTCAGTCCCTGTGCAGAAATATTTGTGTAAAACTGATTCTCCTAGGAGTTGAGGCGGGTTTATTCTGTGGCACCTCGTATCCCCTGGACACTGCTGCACATACCCTGGGAACACCTTTGTCCCCAGTTTATTTGCTCATTTGGACAATATGCCCTCTAAATTCTCTTCTAGGTTCTAAGATCATGATTCTCGTTTTGTGAAACTCAGGCTGACATGTGGAGAAAGTGTGACTCACTTCCTAATAGTTAGAAAGTAACACCACAATGGCATTGACAGTGGGGTTTCATAGGACATGTTAGATGTTTATTATCCTAACTGTATCAAAAGTGGAAAGAATACAATGGGCCTTGCTTTCACAAAGAGGAGAGGAGAGATGTGGCCGCGCTTGTCTAAGGAGAGTATCGCCCTAAAAAGCTTCAGACGGAGGTTTGATGAGAATCCTTCCGATACGTAATACAGTACTTTTCACTGGCATTACAGCAAAAGCCTCTAGAACCCCCAGAGGATTTTCCCCCCAACAGCAGCAGCAAAGATATCAGGGTTCTGATCCATATTAAAGAGTCCTAAAGTTATTAACCTGCTACAGATTATAACACAGTTTAGACGCTGGGGAAAGTTCTTACATTCTGCGCGTACACTAGCAAGTCAAAGCAATGATCTGAACGATGCAGAACCAGTCCTGTTCCTAAGAAGACTACCACCGCTGTAACAGGCTTCTTAGTTAGCCTTTTCAGTCTTTAGAGGCCGTTGAAATGAGATATTATTTTCAGAATGAATCTCTGTGGTGTTAGAAACTTCAGTAAGAGTTAAAGAAAACGTTTTCACGGCAGCTAATAAAACACTGCTCACACGTTCTCGCAAACACTAAAGGTCAGACTTGAGCACCTGTTGACCAAATAATGAGAAAAGCAATTGCCTTCTTCTTATAAAAAATGGGGTTTAAAATTGCTTAGGGACTTCTCAGGTTTTTTTTCTTCCCCAAAATACATAGCTCTGGAGTTTGTAGAAACTGGCTAGGACATTTTCTTACACTTTCCCCTGCAATTTTGTACACGATATATCAGTCACACCTTTGTTTCTACCTCCTTCCCTCACTCCCCATCCTACCGACAGCATATGTGTGACCCTAGTCCCATTTTCTTTACTAGGGGTTAGGGCTTCAGTTCCCTGCAGGACTGAATGTATACACACCTTCAGCCTCATGAGATATTCCCACATCACTCTCCAAAATGGTTGTACAAATTTACATTCTCCTTTTTTAAAAATAATTTGTCTTTATTGTTGAAGGTATTGCAGATGTCCCCCATTGACCCCCTCCCCAAGCCTGCTGGCAAGGATGTGGTGAAAAAGGAACCGTAGTACACTGCTGCTGGGCATGCAGTTTGGTATAAATTTACATTCTTAACCAGCAGTGTGTGTGAGAACCAATGTGTGTGTCTTCA